TGGGTGCCTATAGCACTGTCCCTCCCTTTAACTCCAGGATCTGAAGAAGTTGAGAGAGTAGATGCTATTCAGTTTAAATATATATTTCTGGAACATCAATTCTGTGCCAGACCCTATATTAGGGTCATAAATGAATAAGAAACAGTCCTTAGACTTGTAGAGCTCTAATTTGGTTCAGAAGGACATAGCAAACACAATGACTTCAAGAGATTATCAAAGTTAAACAAAGACAGTGCAGGGGGTAGTTGTTGGAGCAGAGAAGAGGGACCTAACACAACTTTTGGGATTCCAGGTAGGATTCCTAGTGGAGGTGACACCTGAACTGAATCTTGCAAGGTGAGTGGTATTGCATTGAGAGAAGAAAGAGAGTGTGGAAGGGGTATTCCTTACAAGGGAAGAGGAAGAAAGGCAAGGAGGAGGGTGAGAAGCAGCCTAGAATATATCAAGAAAAATAAGCAGGTGTTACTGAATGGTAGTGTAGTAGGAATGGAGTAGGGTAGAGGAATATCTATGAGTCTGCAAAGATAACACAAGATGGGCTGGATTTAGAAGCTTGTAGAGCTGACTGAGTAGTGAGGCTTTTATCCTGAAACATCCCAGTTTAGTCAACTCACCTATTAACTGGACTCCTGCTGGGTGAAATTTTTAGCTTAGAGCCTGGCATAAAGCAGGTGCTCATTCCAGGTCTGTTGGATAAAAGACATGTATGAAGTTCATGGTCTAGCAGAGGAGACAGACATACACATGGATGATACTGGTCCAGTGTGATGAGCTCCAGTGCTCTGAGAACCGAAGGGACAGTACTCATTTATAGCTGGAGAGGATAGGAAGGATGAAATTGAGGCGGGTTTGTGAGTGAGAAAATCCTTATGCTGCACCTTGATGTATATCTGGTATGGTGTAAGGACATTCCAGAATAAGGGAATTCTATGAGCAAGGACCTACAGGTAGGAAAGCAGAAAATTTTCTATTTGGCAATAGTCATTCTGTTTCTCTGGACCATGGGCAGTATGAGAGTTCAAGGAAGACAAGATAGACAGGTACCATTCATTCATTCATTCATTCATTCAAGAATATTGAATAATGCTAACATTTATTAAGTACTTACCATGTGCCAAGCACTATTCCAAACACTTTATTAACTCATCTAATCCTCATGGCATAGAGATACTATTATTAGCTTTTCCATTTTATATATGTGGAAACTGAGTCATTCAAATATATAGTAACTGATCCAGAGTCATACAGCTCCTAGATTTGAACTGGAGAGTCTGTCCATAGTTATAATCACTAGGACTATTACCTCTCTGAGCTGATGGTGCAGACTTCTGGACCTTTTGCTTAGTCCTCTCAATTGCTCTGTTCTTCAATTATAGAGCTCTCAATACTCTCAGTTTTCTGAGTGTCCATTTATGTTGGGCTTTTGCAAGAAAGAAATATGAGAGGCATCCACCATGACTCCACTAGTCCTTCAAACCTCACAGCTAACCCATATTGAAATTCTGCAAATGTTCTCTACAATCTCTTTCAAAACTACTCTTTTCATCATTTCCACTTTTTAATCCACGTCAATGTGATTTCTTCCTAGTTTTCCAGCTCCTCTCTTGCTTTGTTTTAATTCCTTCTCTATACTGACCACCAGAGGGATTTTTCTTTAACCTCTTCATGATTCCTTAAAGTCTAGGCTAGAGCAGTGGCCTCCAAGGTAAGGTATGCAAAATGATCATAGGCTGAGGGGGTTTCTTGGAATTTTGTTTACTTCTTATCTTAAATAGGATATTAAGCATTATTGATGTTGATCTTTAATATATAATGATACACATATTCAGTATACATACAAATATACATAGATGTGGAGGTACATATGCTAAAACATTTGTACTGATAAGGTATAGTCCAAAATTTGGAGACCGTTGGCCTGCAGAACAGTCAAAGTTCCTTGGCATGGCATTCAGTGCCTTCAACGTGGTGATCTCTATGTTCTCATCTCTTGCTGACATTCAATTTATTTTTCCAGCTACATGGAATGACTTGCAGTTCCCACATTTTGCTCTACTCTTTATCCCTAGGACCTTGCTAATCATGCTCCCTTCTGACTGGAATGCTCTCCCTCACCCCTTCCTCTGGCTTACTACATCTTTTAGACTTAATCAGGCATCCTTTCATACTTTCAATAAATATTTATTGAGTATATACTGTGTGCCAGACATTGCTCTAAGTGCTGGAGAGCCAATAGTAAACAAAACAGACTCAAAATCCCTATCCCTCTGGAGCTTACATTCTAGTGGAAGGAAATAGTAAAAAATTAAATAAATAAAAGTTTAATAAATACCTAAATTATATAGCATGTTAGTTCTGAGAGCTATGGAAAAAAATCAAGCAGTGTAAGAATAGGAAGTGTTGGCAGTGGGGGAAGGGGCTAGTTTGTATGATTGTAACATTAAATGAAGTGTTAAGGGTAGGGACCATTGAGGTGATTCTTGAGCAGATATGAAGGAACTGAAGGACTTAGGTGGGCAGATACCTAAGGGAAGGGCATCCCAGGCAGAATGAACAGTTTAAAGCAGGGAACACCTTAACACAGGAATATTCCTTCAATATTTGAGGAAAAATGAGATGAGAGTGGATTGAATGGTATAAGCAATAGGGGAAAAAGAATAGAAAATTGAGGAGGGGCAATGTGAGGCCAGACTGCATAGGGTACTGTAGGCCACTGGAAGGATTTTCTCTTTAACTCTGAAATTGAGAGCCTTGTGAAGGATTTGAGGAGTGACATATGACTCAGGTAACAGAACTGCTTTAAATTCTATGTTTGAGAATAGACTGAAAGGGATAAAGAGTGGAAGCAAGGAGATCCATTAGTGGCTTCTATAATATTCCAGGTAAAAGTTGATGGTAAGCTCAGATCTGATGACAGCATTGTAAGTGATGAGAAGTTGGTAGCCAATAGTATCTGCTGATAGACTGGATGTATGATAGGAGAAAAAGAGAAAAATAAAGGATGCCTCTAAAACTTTTGGATTGAGCACCTGGAATGGCCATCAACTAAGATGGGTAAGGCTGAAAGCAGAGTAGGTAGAAGGTAGGGAAATCAGCACAGTTGTGCTCATGTTTACTTAGAGATGCCTATTAGACATCCAGGTGGAGATATAGAAAGGCAATTGGACTTATGGGTCTAGAATTCAGGAGAGAGGTCTGGGATGAGATGAAAAGTTCAGAATCATCAACATATAATGGTGTTTAAAGCTATGACACGAGACCACCTAAGGAGTGAGCCAAGACAGAGTCTCAGCACATAGCTGAGGCATTTCCAACAGTCAGATCAATTTTCCACCCACTCCAGGAACACACCCAGGCTCCCAGGTCACAACAGTGATGACACTGTGTGGCTATGGTTACTGTCATCTTCACCAGGCTGAGCTTCCAAGCAAATGGATTCATTCTTGGGCATAGCTTGCTCTATACTTAGGAAGTGGTCCAGGCCAAGCCAGTAGAGTTTCAAATTGTGTGGAATGAGTACTTTCCAAACTTTTATACATCATAGCACTCATACAAAAATAGTAACATTTACAGCACACAGTAGAGCAAACACAGGAAGCTACTTCAGGTTCTGAGATATCTTGAAGGGTTGAGGGGATCAGTATCTTGGTAAATCTGTCCTGTCATACAGGAATTAAGACTGAATCTAACCAATTCTTTCCTTCCCCTTCGCCACCTTCAGAGAAGCTCCTGGTAGCCTGGACTGAAGTGGGGCTGCCCCTCCAGGATGTGTCTACGGCTGCCTGCAATTTTTGTCACCGTCCTGTGCACTTTGAGCTTATGAGTGAGTGGGAACGTTCCTACTTTGGGAACATGGGGCCCCAGTATGTCACCACCTATGCCTGAGAAGCCAGCTGCCTTACATCCCCACCCCACTTGCACTTCACCTATGACTGGGCCTCCTCCTGTCCTCTGCTTTGTTGTGTGCCTCTAGCTGACTTGAGTCTGAAAATAAAGAGCAAACTACAGCATCTGTAGCCCTTTGTTAGAGAACAGGCAACTGCACTACACCTGACTCCCTCAGACAAGCGGCAGAGACATGAGGAAACCACAAATCACTTGTTGGTCTGACCACCCTAGTTTACTGATAGGGAAACCAAGATCCAGAAAGAGGAAGATAGCCAAAAACTATACAATGATTTTCACAAATATCCAGGATATTTGGCAGGTTTACTTGAAATGGCTCTTTCCCAATGGTTTCAATAAAAATCTAGGGATTGACTCTTCACTGGTAGACTTGGAAACCAGGGCCCGTGTAACCCCTGTAAGGAGTTAGCTCTAACTAAACTGCTTGGGGGAGAGAAATGGCTCCCCAAGACTTCAGAAGTATTTTCCAGCAGAGAAAATGGATGTCCTCTTTCCTTCCCACAATACCTTATCGAATACCACTCACCAGCTCCATTTTCAAGGTGTAAAAGAGGCTTGGCTATAGCAAGCAACTTGTTCAAGGCAATGTTCCTGGCCTTTCCAGGTCACAACACACAGAGAATATTTGCATGGGACAGTTGGGTGAAGCAATACCACTTGCCTAGGAGGCAATGTTTCCTGACATTTGTGTAATTCTTGGCCCTGTCTGGCAACTCTAAGCCTAAGGGATCCATTTCTTTCCACCGTATAACTCATTTGTGGCAGCTGTGGGACATACCAGTTGGTAAGTGCTGGTTTAAGGCTGTACAGCCTACCAGAGCTTTCTGCCACACCACACCCATCTCCTTTGCTGATCAAATATCACCAGTACAAGGAACTCCTACAACTAAGCAGAGCACCTTTATGGTAAGCATCACTGCTCCTTCCTCCCCGCTCCCAGGGAGTTAGTTATGTCATCAGGCTACAGGCAGTTGACAAACCCAGTATTAAGATAGCATCTCTGACTCAACTTCATGGAGCACATCAAAATTTCCATGACGTAGTGTGCTAAAACAAAGACACAGACTCTATTTAGGCACAGATACACTTCCAAGTAGGGAAGGAAGGGATTTATTATCACAACTTGGCGCAACTGGTTTCAGTGGACTTCTGATTTTAAGGTGGGATATAGGGTGGACTGGGTTACAGCATTAAGGCATAAGAAGTCCACAAGTGAGGAGGAGCTAGACAGGAAGAAGAGAGGAAGAGAGGCCATAGAGAAGGAAGATAAAGAGGAAAGGGAAGGGTCCTTGAAGAAGCTGGACCAAGAGGAGGAGAGAAAGGAGGCCTTGAGGGAGGAAGAGGCAACTTAGGTGGGAGCTGGTCTCAGATCATGTATAGGGTTGACCATGCCTAGGCCTGGGGTGGTTCAATTGGGCCTGCTCCAGAGGAAGAAGTTGCAGCGGGAAAAGGGGTCAGTGGGAGGACCCTGGGGCCTGGCACACATGTAGAAGTTGCGGCCCAGGTTGGGTCCTGGCTTCTTCACAGTTCGCATCACACATGGCTCTCTGTGGCCCCCACAGACGGGTATGGGCAAAGGCCCCCCCAGCACAGACTTCCAGAATGAGGTCTGTACGTCCCTCTCATCCTTGGCCTCTGAAGCCTTGGCCTGCTCCTCTACCACTTTGGCCATCACCTCCTTTTGTGGGGTTTTTGGGGTCACAAGGGTGCCAAGGCTAGGAAGGTCCAAGTCAGGAGATGCTTGAGGACGGCTGGAGAGCTGGAAATAGCTAGTCAGGTATTTTTGGCCTCTTCTTGAGCCAGTCTGACTTGGCCGAGGCCTGGCTGAGCGCACACGGGCTTTGTTTTGGTGCAACTGTACCTGAGTTTGATGACTGAGATGCAGTGCCGACTGCTTGAACACAGGATCTTCTTCAAGATGTACTAGGAAACGAAGGATCTTGAGTTGGGTGCCTGCAAACTCAGGGAGGAAGCGAGTACACAAAGGTGGGCACTGTTTTGCTGACACAGAGGACACACTCAAGACTGCACCCACAGGGCAATGATCAGAGCCCATTACCTCAGGCAGCAGGAAGGAGGCCTGGAATGTGTCTATAACCAGGGTCCTGTCCCCAAGCACATAGTCAAGCCGGGAGCCATAGTTCAGATGACGGGCACCACTGACTATCGACCAGCAGGTGAAGGCCCCCTCCTGATTTGGTTGGAAGCAGCGGTAGCTATCAATGAAAGGCCCTCTATGGGACACATCTTGGCATCCCAGGTTACTGAGCAAGCTGTTCATCCACTTGCGCCCTGGGTCCTCTTCAAAGCATTCCTGCGAAAGAGGGAGGGGGATGAGAGAGAGGCAGAACTAGATGCCTAGAACTGTAAGGGATTTAGACCAGACAAGAATTTTACAGACAAGAAAATCTGGTTGCTCCAAAGAAGACTGCTACTCAAGATCACACAGTACAGACTGGCAGAACTGGGATTCAATTTTCATCCCTACTGATTTAAAAGCCCATGCTTATACTGCATCAGGCTACATTTGCCTTGTACTGGTCCATAATGCCAAATCTGAAAGCTTGTTGTTTCCTTAATCAAACCAATTCTCGGAATTGCCCACCAAAGGAATGGAAAATAGGAAGCTAAAAGTAGTTACCTAGTAAGTCATGGTGGGGTTAGGAGTTAAAAAGACTGTTTACCTTTTCATTTAAACTCTTTGGCACTACTTAGTTTATCTTGTGTGTGTCAAATCCCTCCCTGACCATCCCTCTATCTTGAGCTTAGAGGCTTCAGGGATCCATGTCTGAATACTTCCTTTGATCTCTAATTCATCTGATCCCTAATTCATCTATCAATCCAATCCACCCACCCACTTATTCAATGCAACAGATGTCCAAAGGACACTAAGTATGTGTCAGGATTGATGCAAAGGTCAAAGTGAGAATCTGATCTAAAGAGGGACCAACGAGGCTTTCTTTCAGGAAGTGAAGGCTGAGCAGGAGTAAACAGGCAGTGTGTCACAAATTGAAAGAACAGCCTCTGCGATGGGACTGTGGAGGAAGGGAGCACCATAGCCAAAAGACTTGTGGGGAGGCAGACTAGGTGCCAGAATACCAGTGGGAGATGACTATCATAGTCCATGCAAGCAAGAGATGATGGTTAGAATAGGGTGATGCGAGTGGAGACAGAGAAAAATGACATTGAGAGATGATTTTGAACTAGAACAAACAGAACTTGTTGACAAAGTGAATGTGGGAAGGTGGAGTAGAAAAGAAGGACAATAATAACATAATTCCCAGGCTTCTGGTTGGGGCAACCAAGGTGACGATGGCTCTCCTTAGGGAGATGAGAAGACTGAAAGAGCCAATCTTGTGGGAAGTGGACATATTTTGCTATTTTGGAAAGGCTCTGTTTATCATGTGACCTGGTATTAATTCCCTTTTCCGGGAAGGAAGAATGTTAGAGGTGCACTTGAGAGATCTAACACACTTCTAAACCAAGGAGAAAAGGCATAAAGGTAAATGATGCTATCACAGGAAGCAGAAAAACAGACTAAGTATGTTGTTTTCCATAGTGGATGCACCAGTTTACATTCCCACCAACAGTGCACCAGGGTTCCATTTTCTCTACATGCTTGCTAACACTTGTTATTTCTTGTCATTTTGCTACTTGGCTATGGAAAACAGTATGGAGATTCCTCAAAAAACTAAAAATAGAAATATAGTATGATACAGTAATTACACATCTGGATAATTACTCAAAGAAAACAAAAACACTAATTCAAAAAGATATATGCACTCCTATGTTTATCACAGCATTACTTACCATAGCCAAGATATGAAAGCAACCTAAGTGTCCACTGATAGATGAATGGATAAAGAGGCAGCCATAAAAAAGAAAAAAATCTTGCCATTTGCAACAACATGGATGGACCTAGAGGGTATTTTGCTAAGTAAACAAAGTCAGATAGAGAAAGCAAATACCACATGGTTACACTTGTGTGTATCAAAGCTCTCACTGACCATCCCTCTATCCTGATCTGAGGAGCTTCAGTGGAATTTAAAAAGCAAAACAAATGAACATACAAACAACTATCAAAAACCCAGAAACAAACTCATAAGTACAGAGAATAAGCTGGTGGTTGCCAGAGGGGAAGGGAGGTGGGGGGAGTGGGAAAAACAGCTGAAGGAGATGAGGAAATACAAACTTCCAATTACAAAATAATAAGTCAGGGATGAAAGTATGCATGGGGAATATAGTCAATAATACAATAGCTTTGTAAAGCGACAGATAGTAACTACACTTATCATGGTGAGCATTTAAATAATGCATAGAAATGTTAAATCACTATGTTGTACACGTGCAACTAAATAATGTTATGACAACTATACTTCAGTTAAGGAAGAAAACAGACTGAATAAGTGCCTTATGATGAATAAGGTGGAAAGGGACTGAAGGCTTGCACTTTGTAGGTACACTCCCTTCCCCATCACCACACCATCACCATTTTCTCCTTTTCATTTTTGCTTATTTTCCTAGCTAGGAGCTACATCTATGTTTATGTGGTTCTTCTGAAAACTCATCAAGGAATCTTCCTGCAACCCCTCTTTTGAGCCACACAATGCTGAGTTGGACTATGCCAGCATAAGTTAATGATCTCTCCCCTTACAAGGCAAGCCAAGATAGAAACTGGTGTGTGGACTATAGGGCAGTGGCTCTCATGCCTGACTGTACAATAAAAAGCCTGGAAGCTTTTAAAACATACTGTTACCCTGGCCCCACACTCAACAGATTGGATTTTATTGGTCTGGGGCAGTACCAAAATACTGATATTTTTGTAAAAGCTCCTTGTTCTAATGTGCTGTTGGGGATTGAGAACCATTGCCCTGAGACACTCCGAGGAGAAAGGTTCATACAAGTAAAAACAACAGAATGGGAGGGAATGCCCACCAATACAGGGTGCAGTGGGAAAACTCAAAATGAGAATAAATTTTATAATGGGAAGAGAGTAAAGACCTGGCTGGTGTGGATGGAGTGTGTAGGGGTACTGAGGATGAAAATAGAGACTGGACACAGATCAGAAAGAGCCTTGAACGTGAGCCCTAGATCACTTTCTCTGCATCATGGAGGTAAGAGGGAGGTATTGAAGTTTCATGAGCAGGAAAGAAAGTATATTAGGGATATAATGAAGGCAAGGTGGCATTCAAGGCCTTCATAATCTAGCCCCCAAAGAACTCTTCAGGCCCATCTCCTGCCACTCACCTCCCTTCCCATGTCACCCCCTAACAAGAAAATAACTTACAGTTCACCATGCACATCACATAAATTTTCACCTTGTAGCCTCTGTTCATGCTAGAATGCTTTGGTCCCCATCCCCAAAACTCTTTTCTACTTATCTTGAAGATTCAGCCATTTTCAGATGCCTCTCCTGATCTCCAGGCTGACCCAGGAATCGCATGTCCAAGCTGCCCTAGCCTCCTGGGCTGCCACCTCTGCCTCAGTCCAGTAGACACCATTCTGTAATTGGTTGGTCATGTGTCCATAGCCACAACCACACTAACAGCTCTGAAGGGCCAAGAGCCAGAACTGACTGGTAACTGACTCTCCAGCATGTGGCTCAGGGCCAGGTCAAAGGTATAGTCAGTAATGTCTATTGAATGAATAAGCAACTCTCAATGTCTTGAGACTATTTCAAACTAAACTTTGCTTTTCCATGAAGGAAACTATCCCTGGGCTAAACAAACAGTGTTGCTTGACTGGCTCAACAGAACCATAGTCCGGAGTGAGGCCAGGGGCCCAGAGGAAGCCTTACCACATTGGCTGCATCCCAGTGGTCAATGCGGCGGTGGGCTGTATTCAGGTCACCCAGAATGATCACATGGCTGAAAAACACAAAGCGGGATTATCATCCTGAAAGGATTATCATTCATTTCAAGAAAGGAAAGCAGTAGTCCTGACCCATCTACTTTATTCTCGGTCTAAGAGCTCAGACAGACAACCTCCCACTTTGAGGTCAAGGTGAAAGCCAACATCAACTCAGAGAAGCCTGCCTCTCCAATCTTATCATAACCTCACTGCCCTCTATGCCTAACTAACCCAATTCTCATCTCCAGAGGTGACAGTTCCTGTTTAGCAAAATCGTCTCATTGACCTCTATTCAAGGGCATCTTTCTGGTCCTTCAAAGTTGAGGTCAGATACTACTTCCTCCAGGAAGTATCCCTTGATTACTCTAACTCACCTTCACTATAGTGTTCCTCTCTGGGACAAGACTTTTCATTTGCTCCCAAGGCACTTTACCTTCCTCATCTCATTTCACCCTTAAAACTATTCTGTGAGGTAGGGATTCACACACTCATTTTAGAAAAGAGAACATACAGACAGGACTAGTCACAGTGAGTAAAAGGAGGAGCCAGGATAGGCGCTCAAAGGTATCTAAGTATAAATCTCATGTTTGTGTCACTTTTCCCTGATCTTCACAGCTCTTAGAGAACTGAGCCTATTCAGGTTGACATGCTGGTGTCTTGCAACTAGGCTGTGAAGAAACTCAAAAGACAAAGATCTCATATCCCTTCCAATGGAGCTTGACACAGGGCTGGGCACCCAGAAGAAACCCAAACCTTGCTGCTCATGATTGTAGTACCTGCCAGCCGCCATGAGGGCTTCTGCTCGAATCTGCAGCAAACGATAGAAGCGCATCTTAAAAGCCAGTCGCTCAGGCTTCTCAGGGCCCGCGTGGGGGCAGTACACATTGATTAGGGTCAATGTCTTCTCTTTGCCTTCCCATGTGCTGGGGAGAAGAGAACACCCCCACCAAAGAAAGGGGGATTGTTTCCGAGGCTCCCCTCTCCACACCAAGTGGCTTCCACTTAATGGTTGTCCACTGGATGGACATGAAGTAAGGGGGTAGAGAGACATTAATGGGCTGGCATGCACAGGACTTGGGGACTGACTACAGATGCGGCAAGGAGGAGGCTTCTAGAATGACACCCAGGTAAACTAGGTGATGGTGCTGCCATTCACAAAGATAGGACACTCAGAAAAGAGCAACTTGGGGCAGTGAGCTCAGCATTGGTTAAGTTGCTTTTGAGGTACCTGTGATAGTAAGAGAGCTGGACCTCCCAGCCAGACCCCCAATGTAGACATGGGGAACTCAAGGCTCAGGGAGGAATATGATTGGCCCAGGGTCACATGATGAATAGTCCAGGCAGGACTATAGTCCAGGAAAGGCAAATTTTGTAAGTTTTCCATGGTGAATGCATGTTATAAGGCAAGCCTCAGATTCATCAAACTCACAGAGTAGAAACCATCAGTGGTCAGTGACAGACGGATATGGGCTATTACCGGATCCTGTGCTGTGTGAGGAGTGCCCGGCCCTCACTATCCAAAGCCCGAAGCTCCTCTTGGGTGAACTCATCCATGTTTCCATAGCAACCCACGTCCCCATTCTGAGTGCCAAGTAAACCACTCAGGCCTTCTTCAGCAGCTACTGGGGTAGTGCTGTCCTTACAGAAGGTGGCTACACCTGGAGACAGACAGGATACTCTGAGTAGGCCTGGCAATCAACAGCCTACTGCTCAGCCTGTTGTTCCCACACAGGTCACCTGGGTCATCTTTATCAAGATTGGCTGTATTGACCACTCTCCCAACTCAAGGGCTATGGATGACTACCTGGGGCAACTGTACTCAAACCCTGGAGTCAGAGCTCCTTCATCTAAAACAACTACAGAATAATAACAGTTAATAAATTCTAAGTGTTTTACAAGGTAAGTGCTAGAAAAGTGTTAGCTATTTTTATTATCATCACACGGACTAATTTGTTCAATCTTTGTAATAGCCCTAGGTGAGCATTATCCGCATTTCCCAGCTGAGGAACCTGAGGCATAAAGCGGTTAAGTAACTTGCCAGAGGTTGCACAGTTAGGGACTGAGGTAGCATTCAAACCAAGACTATTTAGCTCCAGCTCTCATACAATTACCACCACACTATTGTGCTTCTGAGGTCCAATAGGACAATTTTAAATATAACATTTTCACGTATTTATGTGGCTTAAGTTCTGTGGACTAAAAGCCTAAGTTTCATATTACCTTCCAATCAAACACTGGAAACCCTTTCCCCCTACCTGCCTCCATCACTAATTTAAAGTCCCCAGAAAGCCCCATTTACCAGAATAGCCACTACGGTTGCGGCTGAAGCTGAAATAAGAGTTATAACCCTCAGTGATAGCCAGGGGCTCTGTCAGCACATCCCCTGGAAAAAAGACATAAGAATATGTCAGAGATAAAACTAGAACCGAGGCCATACAAAGGCTTGGAATTATACTTGTAGGCTAATTCCTTGCACACATCAAAGCCAGGGCTGGGAGGGAAAATAAAGTATCTACGATTAGAGGAGTAGCTAGGAAGGTGGGGACTAGAGAGGGAATTGATATCAAAACTACGAAGAGGGATGAGGCTATGGACTGGGAGGGGTAAAATTAGGTGGGAGGAGGCTAGGTGATTAGGTGAGCAGAAGAGCTGGGGGTGGGAAATGGTATATGGAAAGGGAAACTGGGAATCTGAACTGGGGTTAGGAGGTAGGTGAAAGAGGGAATTAGAATATCTGAACTGAGGATGGAGAGAAAAATAGTTAAGGGATCTCAGAGGGTATGCCTAGTAGAGGGAAGGAATAGAGAATTGAGCTATAGGTGGGAGATTGCTAGGAAGGAAAGGGAATTAGGGGAATCGGAAGGGAAAGTTTGGGGTGGGGCATGAGGTAGGAATAATGAGAAGCTGAGCTGGGGAAAAGAGATGGGGGTAGAGATAGGGGAACTGGGGATCAAAGGAATAAAAAGGAGGAAACTGGGAAGTCTGAGCTGGGGGCAAAAGTGTGGTGTTAATTAGAGGGTGTGAGCTTGGGGAAGGAAGGGGTAACTGGGGGATCTGACTTGGGAATAGGAGATGGACAGTTTGGCAGGATCGGAAATCTGGGGACCGAGCTGGGGTGGGAGAATGAGTGGGAATTAGGGGATCTGAGTGAGGATGAAGGTTGCAAGGGACAGGGGATTAAGGTTCTACTGAGGGCAGGGGACGAAGTGGGAATTACAGGAGATCTAGCTGGAGTGAGAAACAGGGGCTTAAGGGAGAGGCTTTCAGGATTCTGGGCTGAGTCTAGGGGGAGGACGCTAAGGATAGAAAAATGGGATTGAAAGGGGGGCGGCAAAAGTTAGTGGAAAGGCTAAAGTATGGTAAAGGTCCTGTATTCTTGAGCGCTCACGGGTCACTTTGGTCTCCTGAAGGCAGACGATGTCAGCATCCAGCTTGTCCAAAATGCGCCCCACAGCCATGGCGGCACAGTTGCTAGGCTCCTCGTATACCACCCCTTGCAGGGGGCTCCGGATCCCATTGACGTTCCAGCTCACCACGCGCAACATCTTGACAGCGAACTGCAATGCCTTTTAGCTCGCGTAGAACCTAAGGTCAAGCGACCTGGACGTCCCAAGCCCGCCAGGCCCTGCCTTCCGCGCGCATTTGCGCAGGCGTTCCCGTGCGTGCCAGAACAGGGAAGGACGCACGTAAGGCAGTGCTTTGAGACCCTCGGTTCTCATTGGCTGGAGAAGCGGAAGCTAAAGGCGACTATTACTTAGGTAGGAATGAATGGAGAGAAAAAGGCTTCCATCTGGACTCCTCCACCCGCTGCATTCCGACCCACGCACCTGAGTCTGACTGCATTTCTTCTGTCTGAAAAGTCCTCCTGGTGCTTCCGATTATTTACAAACAGGATTTCGCCACTTTTGAAGCAGAGGAACCGCGCAGCAACTGAAGCCCCACCCCCAGTGAGACCGACAACCACCCAAGTGCTCAGATGGCTGTGGCACTGGCTCCCTGGGAGTAACTGATATAACTCCAACTCTCTTGTAGGGGAGGAGGTATGCGCGAAGGGAATTTCGCGGCTAGAGGATCCGTAAGAAGCGCCCTAGTGGAATAAGATTTAGTAGAGGGCCTCTGGCTTTACACGACGGGGGGAGGGAATAGGAGAGGGAGGAGGCTGTCTCAAGCCCGACCTGTAGCCATTTGCCTTGGGTAAAAACATGGCCTGACACATATTTCTGCTTGGCTACGTTTATCAAATGAGTAAAATCAAAGCCTATAATTTAAGTGGGCTACCCAAGCTCCAGAGCAGCACTGTCTCCCATTGTAGCCCATGGCTCTTCCGTATACATTATTAAATTTCATTCCCAGGACAACCCTGTGAGGAGCATTAAGGCTAAGCAAGAGAAATTGAGTGAATTCACCTCAGCTTCACAAGGGTGGTAGAGCCAGGATTCAAGCCCTATCTCAATCAGGTCAAGGAATACTTTCCTGAGTAAGTTTTTCCTAACCACTCACACACCTCCCCAGTTAGATCATTTCCTTTGGGCTCCCACAGCACCCTATAGTCCATTCTGTCACAGTACTTATCACAGTGCACAGCTACCATTGATTTCTTTGTCACTACACTGCCAGCAACTTGAGAGCAATGACCATGTCTCATTAATCTTACTAGCCCCATCCTCAAATATAGGGCAAAGCATATAGGAGTCATTAAGTATTTGTTGAGCGAATGAATTAACAGCGGGCAATAGCAAGAGCATCAACAGGTTAGTGACTTGTTTGTGAGAACACAAAAATAGAAATAATAGACATGCTCAATATCCATGGAAGCATAACTTTGCATACTTAGGTTCCTCACCCAGAATTGCAGCATAATTATTTTTTCCCCAGAATTCATACCCTACGACCAAAAGCCAAAGCCATTGTCCTCAATGTCTGCAGAAAACACCCAGAGCACTGCTTTTTCTCCTGGAGTACTTAAGTTTACCTTCCAGTTGTTGCTATCAGAAAATAGCTCTCAATTAAAATAAAAATTTTGGTGATTTGAACTTCTTCATGCTTTCCTGGTCATTGGCTCAGGATTGAGTCCCAGCAGTGGGATTACTAGGACAAAGGAAATGAACAGTTTTATTGCTCTTGCTTCATACTGCCAAATGGCTTTCCAGTAAGGGATTGTGCCCCTTTATACTGAAGACCAACCTGAAACTCGGCCCCAAGGAGATGCAGGTCTTGCTGTCTCCATTGTTGGCTTTAATTTCCCCTTCAGCAATGGCTTGTTAATATTAGTTCTGACCTTTGGGACCAGGTGAACACATGGTTGGCCTGAAGAGAAAAGGCTCCCAGTGGCTCAGGAACTTCTTTGACAACTACAACAGCTGATACTTCAGGAGAGCACACGTCCCTCTTAAACCAAGGGTACTTCCCCAGCCTTCTCTGGGAACCAACAAACAACACCTCCAGGCTCCCTCTGACGCCACCCACTGGAACTGCTTTGTGGTCTAAATGCAAGAGAGCTGTGTGTTGGATAATTAGCAATGGAAGAGAAAACCTCTAGGAGAACAGGTAGGTGAGACAGAAGGAGAAATAGTAGTTACACAAATCCAAATCCATTCTTCAAGCTCTCTGGAAAGTTTTCTTTGCATAGATGGTAACTTGAAGTGCATATTAAAAGGTATGGGGGAGTTGGGGAAAAGATGGTATCTATATCTATTTATCATCCATTCTGACCTGCCTTTGTGGGACACTGACCCAAAGGGCGGTTCCCTAGCACCTTTAGAAATCTCTATAACTTGGACTAGTCAAGTTTTGAATAAACTGGATGATAAAAATTTTATCTCTTATCTGCACACTGGTATATAAATTAGGGGCTGGTTTGCTGTGGCACATTGAACGAGGTTTTTAGCTTCTCTGGGCTTCAGTCACCTCCTCACTAAAATGGAAACTGATGCCCCTCACCCACTTCCTTCAGAGGGCCGTCTCAAAGTGAAGAAGAGTGAGAGAACAGGAACCAAAGTTCTTTGGAGGTATCTCAGGACTTCATGCTCTGTCTGAGATTAGTGATCCTGCTTTTTCTGTAGCCTCCACAGTTACCCCTGCAGGTGCTCTTCTCCCTGAGTGACTATGGACTGTGGAGAGCCACTTCTAGGACTAGGATCCAGTGAACCCTGGGCCCCGGGCATGGGGCTGAAAATAGTAGGGGAATAGTGGGCCAGAGCAGTGGCTGGAAGGCAGTGGATCCTAAGCTGTTGCCACAGAAGGCTTGATACTCATGTGTGTGTGTGTGACCTGTAAGCATGTGACCAATCTCCCACATACACCCTAACCCCCCACAAATGCATTCACACCCATATACTCAAGAAAAACCAATAGGGAGACCCCATTTGTGATTTTGTTTACCCATAAGTACTGTTTTAATACTTTTTTAATGGGATTCTCCCACACACCCCATACTTTGGGAGGACTGTCACGATCCATGGGCCCCTAGAAGTCATACTGTATGATTTTCCTCCCTAGAGTTAAAATCAGTTTAGAATTTGCACCTCAGCTCTTGACCTTGAGTCTATGACATTGAGTCAACTCTTTTTCTGCAACCAGGTCATTGGACCATTTCATGGGGGCTTAATTCTTTTATTTATTCTTCTCTGCTTCATTCAAGGTTGAGAAACTTTCTAGATGCCACCTTTTACCTTCAGACCAGTTCCCTGCATAGCTCTCTGTTACAACATTTACCTTGTTGAATGGGGATTATTTGTCCACATGTGCATCTCAGCTAGGGTTGAGATATATAGATTGTACAAACACTGATTGAGCAACTGTCTCCTCTGTACCAGACCCTGAGATGGACACTGGAAACCAAGATCACAGATAATCTGGTCCCCATCCTCAAGGAGTTCACAGTCTAGTAGAGAAGTAGAATAGTAAAACACTGGTAGATACTTGTTAAAACAGATGGAAGCATATAGGCAGTATGAGAACCAAAGACAAAGCCTATCCCAAGGATACAAGAAAGGCTTCCCAGAGGAGGTGGACATTGAGCCAGACCATGAAGAATCAGTCAGGTTTCATTGAGAATGGAAAGGAAGAGAAGGCATTCCAGGCTTAGCAAAAGCCCAGTGGCAACAACAACAAAAGTATGGGGTATGTTTGGTGGTTCAGTGAGTCAGCTGCTGCAGTTTAAGCATAGGGATCTAAAGAGAGACATGACTAGAGAAGTAGGTTGCAGCTAGACTGAGAAGAACCAGGCTAAGGCCTTTCCATAAAGCTTGTTTAGTTCTGCTTCTGGGATCAGAATTGATAACAGTGGAAACAAACCAACAGTTAGTTCTAGACAGTTTTATGTTGTTTTTCAAGCATGGACCCAGGTTTACCCTTTTAGACCTACTAAAAGCCTGCTAGCCTCCTATCTCAGATTTCCTGCTGCTGAATTATCTTTCTGCCTCTTGGCAGAATCATGAGAACAAAATTGTAAACATAGAAGAGGAGTTTATGTGACTGGCTCAATTACCTTAGCCAAGCCCCTTCTCTTCCCTATACCAGTTTCCCTGTGAGGCTAGTGAGAATTTTGTGAGGAGCAAGTAGGATAAGGATTATGTTGCTGCTTTTAAGCCATTGGAAACATACATGTAAAGGGTTATTATTCAGATTATTAGCATCAGCAGAGTGATACTAGTTAGGAGACATTAGAATTAAGATAGTTATATCTCTTCCAAAGTCTAATTCTGAGACTGTAAAGATTCAGAGCTAATCTGGAAGAACACATTCTTAAATCAAGCTAGACTTGTCAATTAACCAAAGAAAAGCCTTGTACTGAAAAAAATCAGGTCCCCAGTGTTCTACTCCTGACTTGGTAACTTACTCGATAGCAGGACCTTAGGAAAATACTTCTCATCTCTAGGCCTCCCTTTTCTTATTTGAGAAGCTTGGATGAGATCATTTCTAGGAGGCTTCTGTATCACAAAACCAAAAAAGCAAAAGTGAATTCATCTTCCTAATTGGTTGGCAGGAGCTCTTTATTATAAATGTTAATTCCTGTCATAATGTTGTAAATTTCCTTTACTGCGTGTTTCCTGTATGCTTGGCATTACATTAGAAGTTTCAGATTGGCCAAAGAGGTGACTGGTCATTTACTTCACAAAGAGAATCACAGCATTAGGTAATAAATTTTGAGCATTACCCAGGTTGTTGTATGTATATTAATACGTGAATCTTCAACAACCCTAAGCAGATAGGTACTCTTATCAAATGAAAAAACTGAGGCACTGAAAGGTTAAGTCTTCTGGTCAGAGTGTTATAGCAAGGGGCAGAGGTAGGATTTGATATAAGTAGCATGGCTTCACAGTCCACTGCATTTAACCACTGTGATCCATTGTCTCAGTAGATTTATTTAGATGAGCAGGCTCTGAAATGTATTGAAAGTTTGGTATGATTTATACACAGCAACTGGAGGAAATCAAACCCTTGTGAAGACTAGGACACTGAAAATGTATTTTAAGGAACTTCTTAAAGGACAGAGTGGAGCTGAGAACATTGGAGAGCAGGGATTGGAGATTTCCATCTCCAAGAGATTGCCCTTGTGTAGTCCAGCTCAGTGGAAGAAAGTTGAACTTCCTCATAGCCAATTAATGGAGGCTCATCAGGAGTTGAGAAGGTTGCAGAAGAATAAGGTAAGAGCCACACTTGGACATCTTCCAGA